TTCAGAATATACAAACCAATCACAAAAACATAAAAACATGCATCATTGTATCAGTTACTCTAATTTTGCCGGGAACCCGGAAAGTGAATCATTGCCAGGAAGGAATGGGACATTGGGACTCGGCCTGGCCTACTCCATCTAAACATTATTCCAAACCCGCCCTGCAACCTCCTTCGCATTCCTACCCAGGGACGGGGACACCTGGGGTCTAGTGGCGGCAATTGCCTCCAGAGGATTTTGGTCCTGGGTATTTCGACTGTAAGACTTGAGGGGCAGCCAGTTTTCAAGGCAAGGAGAAAACCATAGACACACGCATCGAAAATTCAAGAGAAATGTTATCCGAAAAATCACGGTCGCTAGAGGTAGATTACCATCAAGAAACAACAATTTATGGTAAAGTAAATAAATTATATGGAGTTGAGTTGAAATTAAATCATTCACAACAATCAGATCGAGTGCAATTTCAACATATAAAGCCCCTTTTTACTCTAATAAAATCCGATACTACCTTCCAAGTTTGGTGATGAAGAAGTTGAGTATAAATCACTGCAGTACAATATTTCTCCCTTTTTGCCTCTCCACATCAATTTGTTCCTACTTCAATTTCCATTTTTCACTTTTTTGCGCTTTTGATTGCCCAAATTTTTCGAAATTTGTTTTCCATCTTTCAGTGCTCACATTTTCTTGATATTCGTGGGCACCTTTTTTTTATTTTTTTGGCAACAAAAACAAAAATCCAAAATTTCGATATAAGCCCCTGTTTGACACCATTCTCAATCACTTTCTTCATTTCAACCACATTATATCAATAAAATAATACTACGCATAAATCCAAAAATTCTCATTACTTTTTAACCACACATTCTTCCATCAATCACTATTCCAGAATTTAATTTTTCTCTAAAATGGATGTCAAACAGGGGCTAAATTTAATTGACAATTTTTATGAAAAGCAGAGCCAAATGAATATAAAAAATTCAAAATTTCAATATTTTTCTGTGAAAAGTTATACAAATTAAACACAATTAATTGACAATTTTTAATAAAATAAATTCCAAATATAGGCCCCGTTTGGGAGGGATTAAAAGCCAATTAAAATTGAAAATGTGGCCGTTATTGGGTCCCACTCGTCTAATAAAAGTCAACAATAACGACTATATTTTCAATTTTAATCCGATTTTAAATTTTAATCCCTCCCATACAAGGCCATAATCAAACAAACATGAAGAAAACCATAACCACTTGTCCCCTTTGCTCTATGAATAAGACTTGATGAGACATGGGTTATAGTTGGGACAAAAAATTTCCCAAAGCAATGTCGATAATAAATGGGAAAATTATCAAAAATCAGGTGTTAAGTTGTGAGTTTTTAAAATTCAGGTTTAAGGTTTAACCTTTGTTTGGGAGTCATTCTTCCTCCAAATTCTAGAAAAAATATAGACATTATACAGTAAGTGTGTCAGGGAGTGGCAGACTTTTTCTCGACTAAATGTTGTAAATGACTAGTTTGCCCTTATACAAAATATCAAGATTAACTAAATGAATGGCAATCCGGTAACTTTGAATTAATGCAGTTAGAACTCAATGCAGAAAGCGGTCCCGCTGACAACCTCTAACAGTCACATTTTTTTATTAAAATTGGGCCAAAATGGCTCCCAAACAGAGGCTTATCTATTAAAAAATCAGGTATTTGATTTTATATATAAAACCCTAGATCTATTCAAACTCTACATTAATCCATTTCATTTCTATTCACCTTCGCACCCGTTGCCACCACTGCCCGTTGCCTCCACCACTTTTCTCTCACAAAGGCGACTCATCACCACCATCGCCCCCCGCCTCCTCCTCCCCTTCTTTCTCCTCTCATCCCGTCTCCCTCCCCCTTACTATCGGCGTCGCAAATCCACCATCGTCTGTTTCCCTCTCTCTCTCCCACTAGTTCCCTCCACAGCCCCCTCCCTTCTTCCTCCACCCTGAATGTGTGGGATTTCACGCATTTTAGGTGTTATTTTAGTGTGTGTTGTCTGCTGTGTGTTATTTTGAGTGTTGATTTTAGTGTGTATTGATTTTGGGTGTTGATTTTAGTGTGTGTTGATTTTAGGTGTTGATTTAGTGTGCGAGTGTTGTCTGCTGTTGGGTCCGACGATTTGTGGTGGTTTTGAGTTTTTCTTCATTCTCCGATCTTCTTAGCGAGGTTGGGTTTTGTTGGTAGTGATTTGCACATTGTGATGGTTTTTACAAATGCAAATGGTGAGGTTGTGGTTGTGGTTGTGGTTGTGGTGTAGTATAGATAGAAATTGGGATGGTTGTCGAGGTGTTGGAGGTTACGTGGTTGGTGTTATTATTGGTGGATGGTTGTGGAGGCGGTGCCGAAAAGTGTCTATGACCAACTATTTGGTCGGTATGTGACCAAGTATTGATGGTGGATGGGGATCAGGGACGGGTGTTTGGGTGTCTGTGACCCACTATACGGTTCTCTGTGACTGACTATTAAATCGTGACCTTAAAATTCGATAATCCGTGATTAAAAATATAATCTGTGACCAACTAATTTGGAAATATGTGACTTCTGTTATCTATAATTTTTTAAATTTGTGACCAATTAAAAATTTGTGACTTATAGTTTTATTAATTAGTGACTAATAAAGTCAATTGTGACTTATAAATTTTTTGATTTGTGATATCGAAATAATTTGTGACCAAATAATTTGATAAGCCGTGATCGAAAATTAATTTTTAATTAATGAATAAGATATCTGTGATCAAATTGTATATGACTATGACCTTAACAATTGTTAGAATCGGAACAGTTGTCAGAATTAAGCGACGACAGAATTGCTACTGAAAAAGTCGCCGGTTGTCGTAATGATCGGGGTGGTGGAAGTGATGTAATTATATTATATTACAATTAAATATTTAATTAATTAATAAAAATATGATTTTTACAATTTTGAATTTTAGCACCTGATTTTTTATTTTAACAAAGTTAATACCCGATTAATGAATTTTGGGAAAAATTCACATTCCCTACTTTATCTTTACCCATTTTAAAAAATAACAAAACAAATTTTACATTTCAAAAAAAAGAAATTTTGATTTATACA